TGTTTTATCCCTCCCTTTGCCTTTCTCTAGAAATAAATATCTTTTTTTTAAGTTAAAAATTTAAAAAAGCAAGCAGGATGAAGCAGATAATTGAATCAGCAAGTTGGAGGACAAATTACAAAAAAAGCAAGTTGTCAGGAAGAGCAAGAAAGGGAAAAAAGACTCAAAAAGAACAAAGAGGAGTTAAGGGAGCTTCAGGACAACATTAAATGTAATAATATACACATAATAGGGATATCAGAAGGAGAAGAAGATGATCAAGGGATAGAATACCTGATTCAAAAAATAATGACGGGAAACTTCCCTAATTTGATGGGAGAAAAAGTCACACAAATCCAGGAAGCACAGTCCCAATCAAGTGGAACCCAAAGAGACTCTCCAAGATACATCATAATTAAAATGGCAAAATTACAAGACAAAGAGAATCTTAAAGGCAGCAGGAGAGAAACAATAAGTAACATACCAGGGAGCCCCAATAAGACTAGCAGCTGTCTTCTCAATGGAAACACTCTACATCAGAATGGAACGGCAAAAAATATTCTAAGCAACAAGTGGCAAGGACTTGCAACCAAGACTGTGCTACCCAGTGTGGTTCTCAATTTAAATGAAAGCAAAATAAGTAGTTTCCCAGACAAAAGAAGGCTGAAAGAATACACTTCCACCAAATCACCATTGCAGAATATGCTAAAGGGACTGCTTTAAGAAGAGGAAGATAGTACGAGAGAAAGAAATACAGGTACAAAAGGGAAAATGGAAGTGAATAAATACCTATAAATAATTACCTTAAACATAAATGGATTCAGTGCTCTGATCAGAAGGTGTAGGGTAAGTGAATAGATAAGAAAACATGATCCGCACACATTCTGCCTACAGGAGACCCACCTCAGAACAAAACACGTGCACAGACTGAAAGTAAAGGATTGGAGAAAAATATTCCAAGCAAAAGTACAAGAAAAGAAAAAGCCGGGGTGGCAATACTTATATCAGACAAAATAGATTTCAAAACAAAGGCCATAGAAAGAGACACGGAAGGACACTTTATAATAATCAAAGGTAGAATTCATCAAGAAGACATAAACATTATAAACATGCACCTAACATAGGAGCACCAAAATATATAAGGAAAATCTTGGGGGACTTCAAGAAAGATATTGACAGCAACACAATGATAATAGGGGATTTTAATACCTCACTGTCAACAATGCATAGATCTTTTAAACAAAGAATCAACAAGGATATTGTGGTATTGAAAAAATGTCCTAGATCAAATGGACTTAACTGATAAATATAGAAAATTTCACCCCAGAGAAACAAGGTACACATTCTTTTCAAATGCATGGAACATTTTTGAAGACAGATCACATGATATGATACAAAACCAGCTTCAACATGTAGGAGAAGATTAAAATTATATCAGCATTTTCTTGGACCACAGGGGCTTGAAATTAGAAACCAACCTCAAGGAAAAAATTCAAAGACATTCTTTCATGGGGACAGAATAATGTGTTACTAAACAACATATGGGTTAAGAATGAGATCAAGGAAGAAATCAAAAAGTTCCTGGAAACAAATGAAAATGAACACAAAACAGCCAAAGTCTATGGGGACACAGTGAAGGCAGTCCTGAGAACGAAAAGGTAGAAAATTTTCAAATAAACAACCTAACCCTACATCTACAAGATCTGGAGGAAAAACAACAAGCAAAGCCCAGATCTAGTAGAAGGAAGGAAATAACCAAGATAAGAGCAGAATTAAATAACACAGAGATTAAAAGAACAGTTCAAAGGATCAGCAAATTTGAAGAGCTGGTTCTTTGAAAAAATAAACAAAATTGACAAGGCTTTAACCAGACTCATCAAGAGAAAAAGAGAGAGAACCTAAACAAACAAAATCAAAAAGGAAAGAGGAGAAATTACAACCAATACCACAGAAAAACAAAGGATTGTGAGAAACTACTGCAGACCACTATATGCCAAGAAATTTGAAACCCTGGGTGAAATGGACAAATTTCTAGAACCACATAATCTTTTTATGAGGGCATTGCCATTCTAATCTCAAAATCAGATAAAGACAGAATAAAGAAAACTACAGGCCATTATCTCTGATTAACATAGATGCTAAAATCCTCAACAAAATATTGCCAAACTGGATCCAACAATACATTTAAAAAAATAACACACTATAATCAGTGGGATTCAACCTAGGGATGTAAGTATGGTACAATATGTGCAAATCAATAAATGTAATATACCACATAAACAATACGAAAGACAAAAAAAATCACATAATCATATCAATAGATGCTGAAAAAGCATTTGATAAAGTACAGCACTTATTTATGATAAAAACACTCAGCAAAGTAGTAGTAGAGGAAGCGTACCTCAACATAACAAAGACCACATACAAGAAACCTATAGCTAACATCATATTCAATGTGCAAAAACTAAAAGATTTCCACTGAAGACCAGGCACAAGACAAGGATGTCTGCTTTTACCACTTCTGTTCAACATTGTATTGGAAGTTCTAGCCACAGTGATCAGACAAGAAAAAGAAATAGAAGGCATCCAAATTGGAAAGGAGAAGATAAAACTGTCATTGTTTGCAGATACTGCACATAGAAAACCCTATAGACTCCACCAGAAAAGCTGCTCAACCAAATAAGTGAATTTGGCAAAACAGCGGGATACAAAGTCAATGACCAGAAATCAAAGACCTCTTTATACACCAACAATGGAATATCATAAATAGAAACTATGTAAAAAATCCCATTTAGTAGTCCAACAAGAAAAAGAAAGTATCTAGGAAAAAATCTAACCAAGGAGGCAAAAGACGTGTTCTCAGAAAACTACAGAACTCTGAAGAAAGAAGTTAAGGAAGACACAAACAAATAGAAGCATATACTGTGTTCATGAATTGGAAGAATGAACATTATTAAAATGTCCATACTACACAAAGCAATTTTTAGATTCAGTGCAGTTCCTATTCAGATTCCAATGACGTATTTCACAGAATTAGACCAAATATTAATATGGAACTACAGAAGGTGATAGCATATCACCTTAGCAATAGTGATCCTGAGAAAGAACGAAGTTGGAGGAATCATGCTATCTAATATCAAACTACGCTACCAGGCCATAGTAATCAGCCTGGTACTGGCATAAGAACAAACACAAAGATCAAAGGAACAGAATAGAGAGCCCACTAATAAACACCCATGTCTCTATGATCAGTTAATATTTGACAAAGGGGGAAGAAGCATAAAATGGAGTAAAAATGGCCTCTTCAACAGTGGTGTTAGGAGATCTGGTCAGGTACATGCAAGAAAATGAAACTAGACCACCAACTTACGCCATACACAGAAATAAACTCAACAGGGATAAAAGCCTTAAATATAAGTCATGACACCATAAAAGTCCTAGAGGAAAACATAGGTAGGAAAATTTCAGATATGCCATGCAGCAATATTTTCACTGATATTTTTCCTAGAGCAGGGCAGGTAAAGGAAAGTATAAACAAACGGGATCTCATCAAAATAAAAATCTCTGCCCAGCTAAAGAAAACAACATTAAAATGAAAAGAGAACCAACTGTATTGGAAAGCATATTTGCCAATGATACCTCAGACAAGGGCTTGATCTCCGAAATATATAAAGAACTCAACACAACTCCACTCCAGGAAGACAAAAAAAAATTTAAAAATGGGCAAAACAATTGAATAGACACTTCTCCAAGGAGGACATACAGAGGGCCCAGAGACATATGAAAAGATGTTCAGCATCACTAGCCATCAGAGAGATGCAAATTAAAATCTCAATGAGATAGCACTTCACACAGATCAGAATGGCCATCATAACCAAATCAACAATTGAGAAGTGTGGCAAGGTTGGAGAGAAAAAGGAACCCTAGTGAACTGTTGGTAGGAATATAGACTGGTGCAGTCACTATGGAAAACAGTACGGAATTTCCTCAAAAAACTCAAAACGGAACTGCCTTTTTACCCAGTGCTGTTATTATACTCTAAGAATCCTGAAATACCAATTCAAAAGATCCTATGCATGCCAATGTTCTTAGCGTTATTTATAACAGCCAAGTGCTGGAAATAACCCAACTGCTCATCAGTAAATGAGTGAATCAAAAATTTGTGGTATGTTTACACAATAAAATACTACACAGCAGAATTAAAGAAGGAACTCCTACCCTTCGCTACAGTGTGGATCCAACTAGAGAGTATTATGCTAAGTGAAATAAGCTAGGCAGTGAAAGACAAATACCGTATGATCTCACCGATAAGTGGAACCTAATCAGTAAAACAAACAAGTGAGCAAAATAGAACCAGAGACATGGAAATAAAGAACAAATGGACAATAAACATATAAACATAGAGGAAGGGGGAGGAGGATAACTGGAGAAAGAAGGGGGAGGGTCAAGGAACACATAAAGACCCATGGGCATGTACAACTGGGGGGCATGATTGAATGTTGGAGGTGGGGGGTGGGTCAAGGCAGGGGAGAGTAATGGGAGGAAATGGAGACAACTGTAATTGAACAAAAATAAAATTTTTTTTAAATACTAGGCTAAAAATGTTATATATTAGTTAGAATTTCATGAAATATAGTTCCTGCATGGGAGAAGAAAAATTCAACGAAAGTACAATTGTTTTATTTCAAACCAAGTTTTAATGTTTTCCTAATTTTCCACTTTTACTTAATGTTGAATACAAATGAAAAATACATAAAATACTCTTTTTTCAGAGCTTTTAGTTTTTTGTGTTTTGTTTAATGCTGCACCTATATGTTTATACCAGTTGTGTTTTTCAGTTATCCAATCTGTACACATTTTAGGAGATAATTTGCTGTAGAATTTAGAGTGTCTAGGCTCTTCCAAACAAGGCCTTATAAAGGAACATCTTGAAAATATCCCTTAGCACTGAGGTGACAATGTTACATTACCTACCAATTGACATACTATTAAAAGCTTATAATAACTGTGATAATAAAAGGTGTGAGTTACAAATTTTATATGAACACTCAACTATGCATTTATAGAGATTTTATAATTGAACAATAATAATTTAAAAAGTAAAGCACATGCTATAGCTCAAAAACCAGCTCTTATGAATAGCATCTGTGGAGTTGGTCATAACACTTACTGAAGGTTTTATTATAAAGAGTTAGTTTTAAACATAAAGACAGGCCCTAAGACCTGAATATTTGAATGATTTTATCAAACCATACTTTAACGTTTTTAGAAATATTACAGTACTGCCCGAGTTATTAAAGAAAAAATAAGAATAGTATAATACACTCTGCATGTCACTGTCCTTGTTAATTGTGTTTTTTTTAACAGCAAATGAAAGCACAGATATTACTAAGTGTCAAACATTCCATTTACAGTATAGTTCTTTTTAAAATATACTTGGTAACAAAGTGTTAAATACGAAATGTCTTCTTTTTTTTGAGAAGGAATTTTCAAACATGAAATATATGCAAAATCATTTGTATAAAAAAGAAAACTGCAATCGGTACAATTTTTGTCCTAAAATAAGTCACTGGATGTACCACATGGGAATAGATTTTTACTTTTGAGCATAATACTAACATTATTAATAGAGTTCAAGTATCCCAAATGTAATAGTTTTTAATTTTACATTAAATGGAATTACTAATTATTACTCTCCGAAGTTCCCAAGCTGAACGCTCATTCTGCTCAAAACACAACGAAATGTTGCAGGTTGTACTTCCCAGTACTTCACTGGGTTGTTGAATAAACTTATTGCACTATATAATGATTTCTTCATCTTTGGCACTGTTGGGCAGAAGTCATTCACTCCCACTTTTGTAATTGAATTAGAGTGAAGGAAGATTATCTGTTGTAGTAGGAAAAAGAATGGATTTAAAGTATACAGTACATGTAAAAGAAGATACTCTTCATAATTTATAGGTTTACTTTACACTGATTTGAATAAATTTCACTTAAGATATATGCCTGTTAAGTACTTAATTCAGCAACTCAGGCTCAGGTGTTATATACAAAAGTGCTGTATGTGTGAAGTATGGTATAGGACTCATGCCAAGCCCTAGAGCACACTGCCTAGTCAGTACCACTCTTCTTCTCTACACATATATAGATGTGTGTGTACGTGTGATCACTTCAGTGCCTTATGTATGATAATTTTAAGAGTGTTTTATTAGTATTAGAGCCTTGAATGGTGTGGCTCAGTTGGTCCCGCAAAGCAAAAGTTCACCGATTTGAATCTGGTCAGGGCACTTGCCTGGATTGTGGGTTTGGTCCCCAGTCCCCTGTCAGGGTGTGTACAGAAGTCAACTGATCTGTGTTTCTCTCTCACATCGATGTTTCTCTCCCTATCTTCATCCCTCCCCCCCCCCCGTCTAAAATAAACAAATAGTTTTAAAAGTATTAAAAATGAGCAGAAGAATGCAATTTAGTGCTTGAAGAATAGGTTTGCAATATAAATGTGAAGAATTGTTATGTAGAATTTTCTGTGATCAAGGGAGAGACGTGTAGAGCTGCTTTTATGTAAGCTGTTTTGTAGGAAAATATATCTGTTGACAACTTGAACAGATATCTGTAATACAGCATGAACAGTTGAATCTTTATTTGCACCAGTGCAGAAAATGAAATATTATAGGCTTTGAGTATGTCTTTACATTAAATTATCATTGAGATGGACAATATAAACTCTTCCCTTCATTCCCTTTAAACCCTTTAAATTCCTTTTTTGATCTTTTTTGGCAACTGAGATTTCTGGGAAGTAAAAAATATATACTTAACTGATAGCATTTTGGCATATTAAAAAAGTTGGGCCCTCTTGCTGGCAAAGCTAAGATATTGGTTCTGGCTGTTACTCTATATTCTGCCTTATGTCTTGGTGAGATTGATCTGAGCCAGTCATGAGAATTCTAGGCATTACTAAAACCCTTAAGTTTGGTGAGCCCCCTCTGCCCTCTGTCTTATGGATTTTGTGACAGATGCTTTTGTGATTGCTCTGCATTTTCCAGCAGCTCAGTGTCAGTGCAAGGTACAGTTTATCATAGCACTGACCTCACTGGGAATGGGAGACAGTTGTGGACATGTATCCTGTTTGCTTTATGGGCATTCGTTGAATTATATCCTTATGACTTGTGTTTGTCTCTGTTTGGGTTACAATTCTATTCATCTTTTTAAAATGCCAACAAGAGTATGGGTAGATTTAAGAGTGTCCAGAAGCTGGGACCAGAGTCATGGAGTTAAGTATGTAAAGATGGGACAGCTCAAGAGAGAAAGGACTCAGATCCTGCTCACTGGTTAACAATAGACATTTAAATCTACCACTTCAAAAAGTCAAAGCAAAAGTTGTAACTTTGAGATGAACACCTATATATAGCACATCCATTTCGATGGCTTGGATCTCAAAAGAGTGTAGCTAACAAAACTTTTAAAAATAAATAGGAAAGAAATGTAGAAGCAAGTAGCTCTAAGCTCAGGTTTGTTCTCAGTATGTTTTTGCTTCTTGGAAGATGAGAACATTGTATAACAAAATACCCATATGAGAAACATAGGCTAAGGTGAAATGGGGTTAAGTATGGATTCTTAATTTGAGGCCTATAAATGAGAATCAAGGAGATCTGTAAAATTTCCAAAATTATATGCAGAAGCTTGTCTTCATTTTTGTTCTTGGGAGGATCTTTATGCAATTCTCCAAGGATTATGTGGCCCCTCCCAGCTAGTCAGGAGTTGCCAGATTACAGGAAAAAGATTTTTAATAATTAGAACAAGAAATGTGAATGTATTATGTTTCAAATACTGACTTTTGATTTTATTTTTCTGGCCTGAGTTTTTAAAAAAGCATACACACTTCTAATTTAGCACTGCATTAGTAGTGAGAATACCTAGGACGTTGTCTACAGGGCTTGCCTTTATTAAGTGTTTCCAGTGCAGTCCTACTTGATTTCCTCCTGACCAGTCCTGCCTTTACATAGCCACTGCCACCCAGAGACCTGAAATTAGCTAGTGCCAATGCCATAATGGCCTTGGCAGTTTTAGTAAGAGAAAGGGAAGGATAGACATGGATACTTGAGTATTTTAGCTGACGTTCCCATAGAAACCAGTCTCCTAATGCTCTCTCACTTTACCCTTACAACTTACTTGGCCTTTGCCTCAGGTGTTAAGAGGTCTCATAAGAACAAATAAAAGTACTAATATCTACAAAACACAAGTAGAATGTTTTACCTGGAGGTATTTCAACTCTTGTAATCCTGAAGGGATTTTTTTTAATTTATTGTTTTCCAAGTGTATTTCTCTTATGCGTGGTATGTTAGCAAGACTTCCATTTTCGATATCTGTGATTCTGTTGTTTCCTAGGCCCAGCCTAAAAGTGATATAAAATTCATCAACTCTTAAGAAGATGGAGTGATACAGTTAGATGAAAATAACTGAGTTAGAAATATAAACCTGTCCAATATATGTGTTCAGAGAAAGGTATTTCATGGTTTTATTTAATAACCTATTTCAGTATGTTAACAGCCCTCTCCTACACTGTCAGAAAATTCTTTATGTAATATTTGAAAACTTTTGTTTATTCATTCTATTTGGTACCCTCTTCCATTATAGAAATGGAATAATAGCAGTACTTTCCAGTTTTCCTAGTAGTAACAATACAATCTTGATTAGGTCCCTATAATATTCTCCAAGAAATTTCATTATGTTCATCATATAGAGTACCACTTGTAAGTTAGGATTTGGGGAACTTTTACCTTTGTAGATCTTTGTATCGTTTAAAATCCTCGAGTTCCACAGTTGAAATTTTATTAAAATCTAAATGAAGCTCTAATAGAGTTGATGGTAGTTCTAATGATAAGGAAAGAAAGGTGTGTTAGATCAAGTAAGATCAATCTCAGTTGATTTACTTGTTAAGTTTCACATTATAGACTTAGGTAAATTTTTAGGGATCTGCTTTTATTAAACATTTCATTATGGAAAACTTCAAACACATACCAAAATTGAAGCTAGTAATTCTGACCATCGTGCTGTTGGCCCAACTTAATAATTGTCTTAGTTTTTCCAATTTTCTTTCATCTACCCCATTAGTTATTCATTATTGATTTTTAATAGAAATTTTGGGGGGTGACATTGCTTAATAAAATTATATCACTTTCAATCATTCAGTTCTATCATACAACATCTGTATATTGTATGATGTTCACCACCCAAAGTCAAGTCTCCTCCTTTCATTATTTATGTCCCCTTTATTGTATCCTACCTTCCCTCATGCCTTTTTTCCTCCACTGTCATCTGTGTCTATGAGTTTTGTTCTCTTTTTTTTTTTTGCTTAATCCCTTCACCTTTTTCACCCAGCCCACAAATCCCCCTTCTCTGATTATTGTTATTAAAAACAGTTGATTTTTGTTTATTCACTTGTTTTTTGCTGGCCTATTTAAAATTAAATTCTATGCATAATGATAATTCACCTGTAAAGACTTTACTAGATGTCTTTAACTCATATAGTCATCTTCTATTTATGTAACCATCATATCAGTATCACATCTAACAAAATTAATAAAAATTACTTACTACAGCTTAAAACAAATTTTAAGAGATATAAGAACCAAATAAATGTATTTGTAAAATTTACTAGGATCCTGACTTGAACAAATCAACTGTAAAACAATATATATGAGGTCATTAGGGGAATTAGGAGCCTGCTTGAGACAAAACCACCTTTTTTTTCCCTTTCTTTTCTTTTAAGGGGCCATTGCAGAAGTTTCCCTGGCCACTCACCTTTGGCTTGGGGAAGTGAGGGCAGCACTGTCTGCAGTCATGTGAGAAGAGTCTAGAGTAGAAGGCTTGGGGGAGGTTCTTAGGAGACCAGCTGCTGGGTTCCTAGTGTTGGGATATAACACCATACTGCAGCAGACACTTTTCTTTAGAAAAGCAAAACCCTTGCAGGGGAAAAACAATTATTCCATCCTTTGGGAAAACTGCTCACACCAGCCTCTGGAAGCCCCCTACTCTCATCCTTTGAAATCCTGCTTACCCAACTCAACTTCTTTCTTACTTTACCCCGACCTGCATCTTATCCCCTGCCAAGGAGACAGGAACATAGGCAGACTGATGAGTGTTGGAAACTGGCTTTAAGACATTGCCATTATATACACCTTCCCAGGAACCAGACTGCTTCCAACTCACAGGAAAACCTAAGAATACTGTCAGACCCAAACTCTGGGCTCTGGAAGCCCCACCTCCTACCCTTCTAGGGGCTTTGTGCTGCTGAGTTCAGGGAAATACTCAGAGACAGACTCAGATATGTGAACACACCACAATCTTCCCTGAAGTCTGAACAGCACCTCCTATAGGAGATCCAGGCATCATATCCTACTGATTCCACCAGAAGCCCTCTTAGAAACAGGTCAGCAGCTAGACTAAGTCTAATAGCAGGATCACAGGCAGAGGCAGGTGGAAGCAGTACCTGCAGTGCTTTCAGATGTTAATTGACCCACGTCTAGGCCTGGTGCTGCTAAAAAGCCAGGTGTGCATAGCAGTGAGGATGACCGCAGATGTTACAAACTGTGGAAAAGCTTATAGCTTCTAACAGGCTGCCTGCAGCTAGATAGGGACAACTTCAGGACACCAGAGGTGTATCCAGAAGGACAAGCCAGCAGGCAAGCACTAAACTCTTCTGAGACAAACTTCACCTTGATCTCCTCCATTATGTGAGCTATTTTTCTTTCGCATAGCTTTTTAACTTTTTTCCTGTTTCTTTAATTTTGCTATTTTTCACTATTTTTAATTTCAAATCTCATATTTTACTATTTCCTTTTCTAACTCCATTTTGACATCTTCTTTCCCTTTGTTATTTCATTTTAAATTTTAGTTGTTCCCATTCATCACCTTGTTTCTATTCCTTACTCTTAGAATTTCTCTCCCCCGTATCTTCTCCAAATCATTTTTCTTTCCTTTAGTCATCTTATATTCTTTTTTCTTTCACATAATATTTTTATTTTCTTTCTACCTTTATTAATCTTTGCTCCTTTGTTGTTGACATTAATGTTGGTGGAGGGTATTGTTGCTGGTGTGGGGGTGTTTTCTTTTTTCTTTTTTTGTTAATGTTCTGTCAGCACCTGTACAACAGCATACAAGACATGGTGGAGATTGACTCTCCGTCAGCCCGTTGGAGGGGAGCACCCACCAATAATGAACCAAAAATAATCAAAACCCAAATACAATAGGAGAGCCCACATAAACTTCATAAAAGGCATCCCTAGAACATCCAGCTCAGGAGATCAAGGAGACTGCACCACTGAGTCCCACAGGACTCCTACCGTAGAAGGCCACAGCATGAACACAGGGAGTCAAAGCAGATTCATCTAATATGTGGAAACAAACAAAAAGAGTCACCTAAAATGGGGAGACAAGAACCCCCAATTGAAAATAAATCCGTAATCTCCAGGAAGAGAACTAAGTGAGATTGAAGTAAGCAATTTATCAGACGTAGTTTAAAATAATGGTTATAAGGATGTGCAAGGAACTTAATGAGAACTACAAGGAACTTTATGGGAGCTATAAAGTATTTAGTGGGAACTACATCAGCCTTAAAAAGGACATAGAGCCCTGGCTGCTGTGGCTCAGTGGATTGAGCACCAGCCTGCGAACTGAAAAGTTGCTAGTTCAGGTCCCAGTCACAGCACATGCCTGGGTTGCAGGCCAGGTCACCAGTTAGGGACATGCAAGAGGCACTGGTCAGTGTTTCTCTTGTGCATTGATGTTTATCTCCTCTTTCTCCCTCCCTTTCCTGCTCTATAAAAATATTTTTAAATGAAATTTTAAAAACATGATATAGAAACTGTATAAGAACCATGTGGAAATGAAAAATGCAGACGAAGGTATTAAAATCAGGCTAAATAAAGCAGAGGATTGAATCAGTGAGTTGGAAGACAAGGCAGAAAAAAAAAACACCCAGTCAAAGCAACAAACTGAAAAAAGACTCAAGAAGAATGAGACTACTTTAAGGGAGCTTTAGGACAACATGAAATATAACAATATTCACATCATAGGGCTACCAGAAGGAGAAGAAAGGAAGTGATAGAAAACCTATTTGAAGAAATAATGAGAGAAAACTTCCCTAATTTGGTGAAGGAAAAAGTTATGCAGATTCAGGAAGCACAGAGAGTCCCAATCAAAATGAACCCAAACAGGCCCACTCAAAAGACACATTATAATCAAAATGGCAAAATTTAAAGGCAAAGAATCTTAAAGGCAGCAAGGGAGAAACAGCTAGTAACACACAAGGGGGGGTTTATAAGGCTATCAGCTAATTTCTAAATGGAAACCCTACAGCCTGAAGGGACCGGCACAAAATATTCCAAGTAATGAAAAGCAAGGACCTATAACCAAGACTGCACTATCCAGCAAGACTCTCATTTAAAATTGAAGGCTAAATAAAAGAGTTTCCCCAATTAAAAGAAAAAAGACTAAAAAGGATACATTTCCACCAAACAGGCATTGCAAGAGATGTGAAAGGGACTGCTTTAAGAAGGAAAGAATATATATATTGAAACACAAGTACAAAGAGAGAAAATGGAAATGAATAAATACCTATCAATAATAACCTTAAATGTAAATACATTAAATGCTCCAATCAAAAGACATAAGGTAGCTAAATGAGTAAGTAAACAAAACCTGCAAATATGCTGTCTACAGACCCACCTCAGAACAAAAGATTTATACAGACAATATGAATGGATAGAAAAAAAAATACTGCATGCAAATGGACATGAAAAAAAGCTGGGGTAGCAATACTTATATCAGACAAAATAACTACAAAACTACTGCCATTATAAAACACAAAGAAGATCACTACATAATACTTAGGAGAGTGCTCCAAAAAGAGGATATAACCGTTGTAAACATATATGTACGCAATAGAGGAGCACCTAAATATATAAAGAAAATCTTGGAATACTTTAAGAGATTGACAGCAATACAGTCATTGTAGTGGATTTTAACTACCTACTGTCAACAATGGGCCTATCTTCCAGACAAAAAAAAACAACCCTGGGCAAACAAAAGGCATAGACCAGATGGCTTCACAGATGAATTTTACCAAACATTCAAAGGAGTACTAACACCTATCCTTCTTAAACTATACCAAAACATTCAAGAAGAGGGAATACTCCTAAACTCTTATTACAAGGCCCAAACTCTAATTACAAGTATTATACTAATCCTAAAACCAGGTAAAGACACAACAAAGAAAATTACAGGCCAATATCTCTTATGAATATACATACTAAAATCCTCAATAAAATACCAGCAACCAAGAACCAGAAATACATTGAAAAGATTATACACCATGATCAAGAGTAATTTATTCCAGGATGCAAGGATGGTACAATATTCATGAATCAATAAATGTGATACATCACATAAACAAAATGAAAAAAGCACAAGATCTTATCAAAAGATGCAAGAAGCATTTGTTAAGATTCAGCACACATTTATGATGAAAACACTCAGCAAAGTGGGAAGAGAGAGAGCATACCTCAACATAAAAAGGGCATGTACTTAAAGCCTACTGCTAACATCATACTCAGTGGGCAAATACTAAAAGCTTTTCCTGTAAGACTAGGAACAAGACAAGGGTATCCACTTTCACCACTCTTATTTAACATAGTACTGGAAATACCAGCCATAGCAATCAGACAAGAAGAAGAAATAAAAAACATCCAAACTGGAAAGGAGGAAGTTAAACATTATTCAGAGACAACACAATAGTGTACATAAAAAATCTTAAAGACTCCACTCCATAACTACTTGACTTAATGGGTGAATGCCACAAAGTAGCAGGATAC